AGAAAAGGTTCATCTGCATCAAATTGCTTGACAATTTCAAAAATCTCTTTAAAATAAATAAATAAATTTTAAAAATCTCAAAAAAAACCATATTTGACACACACCAAAAATAGTAGAAGAGAATGCTTTGTGACATATAGAGTAGGATTTCTCAAAGCAAAAATCAAAGTATTCCAGGGCCAGTGAGATAGCTCAGTGGACTAAGTGCCTGCAAGTGCAGGGACCGGAGTTTGATCCCCAGCACCACATGCCATGCTGGCCCCACCCCTGGGCACACTGAGCCAGCCACCAAGACCAGGTGTGGTGGCGCATGCCTGTAATCCCAGTGCTGGAGAGGCTAAAAACAGGGATTGAAGGAGACTCTTCCAGGTCCTCGTCTGGGTCCAAGAAGCCAATATTTATAATCCCAAAGTTACGTTATTGGAATCCCATCAAGTTGATTCCAATCTACCACTTACAATGCAATCCACAGCAAAAATAAAGACACTAAATTATATTTTCAATCACCAGGGAGTCAAGGTGCTCTAAGTCCGGCCATGAAGATGGCTTTCTGGAACCAAGAGAGTGACCCAGGGCCTTACCCGGTTTTATTTAGTGGAGGAGTGGCTTGAGGAGGATTGACTGAGAATTGTGCGAAGGAGACTACTATGAGCTGAGCTAGGTGGGTGGCCTAAATTTACCTCTGTGATATGCAGAGAGAGTAATTTGCATTATATAGTATCTAATGTTTTGGTAAGTCTGGTGCTTCAGCTTTGATGTAGTCTTTCAAGCCCCAGGAAGTCATAGCCTCCCAGCTGGCGTGCGCGGAACATTAGCTCTACCGTCCTTTCTCACCCGGCCCACATTAAGGAGCAGCAGGTGTAGGTTACCAGGGAAACACGCACGCCACCTTCAAAGACTATCACCAGCACCTCAGCTAGACCAATATACACTGCTTAAGGCCAATTGAAGGATAAACAGAAGTCCTAACCAGCTCTGTACACAGCAATATGAGGAAATAGAGTCAGGCTCAGTCAAAATGGAGACAGTCGCTCTTCTTTCAAGGAGAGCTGCTCAGGTGGTCCTCCACAGGGGATCACTTGAGTCTGAGCTGCCTAGTGAGACCCAGTACCAAATACATAAAATGAAAAAAAATCAAAGTGTTCCAATAAAAACAAAATAAATCCAACTACAGAAAAAGTTTTCTGGGCTGGTGAGATGGCTCAGTGGTCTAAAGCACCTACTTAGAACAAGCTAAGCTAAGCAAAGCACAGAGACCGCGGTTCAATCCCCCAGCACCACATGCCAGCCAGACCCGCCCCCTGGTGGGCTGAGCTGGCCACACACACACACACACACACAATAAATAAACAAATAAATAAAAAAAAAAAAAGAAAAAGTTTTCTGCTATCAGAAAGAGGAGTAAGAGGAGAATTTAATCCTCTGCAAAACAGTGTGATATCCTGGGGATGGGGGAGCTTCTCTTTGCTGCAGATTCAGCCACTCTCAACTCTGAAAGTGAAGGAGACGCCTCAGAAGGAAGGCAACACTGTGAGAGGCCACTGCATGCCTGCCTGCTCGCGCCTGCTTCAAGGATTCCCAGGGAAGTATGGCTGGGCAGGAAGACACAGGTGTTCTTCTGGGGGCTTCGCAGATACCACAGAGGCCAGACTGTGAGGAGGGCTGAGGCTTCCTCAAAAGGCTCAGGAAAACTGGCTGTAATGAATGTGGGCATCGGAAGCACAGAATGCCAGACAGCACTTCTGGGAGGTCGGATGACAGCCGTGTCTGCCTCCCTTCTTCATCTTGAGGGTGGGTGTCACAACAGTGCCTACATCACAGGGATTTGCTAAGGAGTAAACTGCTTCAGGTATGGAAAGCACTAAGACCTACTGGCTCACAGGAAGTGCTTAATGCTTTGGAGGAGATGAGAAGCAGATTAGCCCCCAGGAGGTGCCTATGAGGGTTCCCTGAAAGATCAGCTCCTAAGCAATGACTTTTCTGAATCATCTAGGATACTTCTGGAAGTGTAAAGTTCCTGCCTGGTCTGGAACAGGCAGGGACAGATGGAGAATGAAGGACAGCACAGAGAGGCCACTCTATTAATTTCCTGACCCCTCTTCCTGGTCATAGGGACCAAGTCAGAGTCCCGGGAGAGAAGTCAGTAGGGGCAGTCAGTGGGCCAGCAGCATGCAGAGCCATCCATACCAGGCGTGGGGGAGCATAGAAGGCTGTGGGGTTCCAGACTCACCAGAAGACATGATTGGAGGAGGAAGGGTGGGACGGGGAGCAGATGCCTAGGTTATCTGGGCGATGTTCTCTCCACATTTCTTCTGTGTTCCTTGCTGCCTGGCTAGGGAGTTAACCAAGCTCTAAGAACAAAACGTGATCCAGGATGAGAGTCCTGCCCTCCCCAGTCAATGAAAAGGGGTCACTGGCAACAGCTGCCTCCAGGCTATTTCCTAGGTTCCTTAGGGAGCCCTGAAGTGTAATGGGTTAACTCACATTTTAGGCTATATGGGTGTGAATCTTGCGCTTTCTGTTGTAAATGCATACCCACCCATTGTTTTAGATTGTTTAGTAAATAGTGGCTGTTACCTGTAGTTTGCTAGATAAAACTCACCAATCCCTTTAAACAAAGACTTCTAACTCCTTGTAACCTTCAGGCTGTGCAAGGCTGCCTGCAGGTACTCAGGTGCAAATTAACCAGAAACTGAAACAATAGCCCCAGGAAATGTAGTTTAAGTCCTGGTCCCAATCACTCTAAAAGCTTTATTTTGTGTCAGACAGTAAATTTGCTTATCAAACGCAATGTGATTCCAAGGTTTAAAACCCCTTCCTGCTTCCTGGGCTGCCGCCTTTCGGTCCTCTCCTGCGTGAGAGCAGACTGGGGGGCCCTGAGCTCAGTAATAAACGGCTTTCCAAATTCCAACCTGGCTGATCTGGTTCCTATTCTGAGTGACCCATAACATGAAGGACAGTGTCCCTCCCCCCTCCAAGTTAGTGTTCTTTTCATTCAAGCCATCATGGAGAACATCTCAGAGATCATAAAAGCAATTACCAGTATATCTTTGTTTTCATCTGCAGATTTATTTTCATATAATAATCTACTTTGGTAGTTACAGAACTGCCGCGGATGCCACACATCACTCAGCCACAGCAGAAAGCCCACAAGAAGAGCTAGGATGGATGGACCAGGCTGTCCCAGCTGCCTGGTGGTGAGGAAAGAACAGAGCAGGTCATTGAGTCTGGGAGGCTCAGAGAAGCCCAGGGTCAAAGGAAAAAGGACACAGCTGCTGCTTGCAGGTTTCAGCGAGCCTTCCCATGCCTGCCCCTGGGAAGGCCTTTGGGGTTCCCCACCTCCCCCGAGAACAGCAAAAGTATGGTGAGAAAGTCTGCCCACCAGGTCCCAAGCAGCGAAGCACAGAAACAATTCCAGCAGAAACAGCACGGAGACAAGGCGAGAGGGAGCAGCAACGCATGTGAAAACTAGGGATTGATTTTCAGCCCGAGACACAAAGCCAGCTCGGACTTCTGGATTTTCCCGTCCTTGTTCACATCGCAGTGACGCAGGAGAATCTCCCGGAACTTGTCAAGGTCCACTCCGCTGATGCTGGGCTGAGGACGAAAACAGGACCCTGTCAGCCCAGCAGGCAATGGCAGCTCCGCCCTTTACAGCTCCTAAACTTAGAGGATGCCCTGCCCTCCTCAAGAGAGGCCCGTCCTGCCTCCCCTCTGACCCAGTGTTGCTAAGGGCAACTTGTGCCAAGAGCTTCGTTTCTCAGATTGTCCCTTCAGGCGAAACAGAAACTCAACTAGCGTTTCCGTATCACTTCCCTGTAGTTCTCACAGACTGCCTGTCTTATTAGCCTGAAATAAAGACATTTTCCCTCAAAGTAGAAAACCACGCTCACAAAGCCTCCCTGGCTTCCATCAATGAGAGAAGACGCGTTCATTAACCCCCTGCGGGGTGTTTCTTTGCCTCCAGTCAAAAGCGGCTATGAAGCTTGACTATCTAACTAAAGCATTACACTGCTAAGCTAGGGACCAGGATTTTACCAAGGGAAACTTTAGGAGTTAAGAAGAAGTTACGGTGCCTGTGAGCTAGGAAAAGACCGGGAAACCCAAACAAAGCCTGCCAAAGTTAGCAGTGCTTGAACTAATTAGTTCTCCCCGGGAGCTCTCCCTTAATCCTCCCAGTAACCCAGGGAGGTAAATAACAAAACCTCTTTTTACAATTTAGGACTCAGGCCAGGGAGAGCTTAGGCGAGCTGCCCAGCTGGAGAGACGGGGCAGCACTTTTCCTCCAAGGCTTCTGACACCAAGTACTCAATCCACTATTTCCCACCTGGAGGAAGGCTGGCCCCTGCAGCTACATCAGTAGCTAGATGGTACCCGGGATTGAATTTAGGCCCTTGAGCTTGCCAGGGAAGTGCTTATTCCACTGAGCCATCTCCCCAGCCCCCTCCAGCAATTGTTCACTTCCAAAGAAACCTCTGAGAGCCGGGGAGCTAGCTCAGTAGAATAAGCACTTGCCTGGCAAGTGCAGGGTCCTGAGTTCAGTCCCCAGTACTGAAAAAAAAAAGAGAGGGGCTGGTGAGATGGCTCAGTGGTCTAAAGCACCTACTTAGAACAAGCTTAGCAAAGCACAGGGACCGCGGTTCAATCCCCCAGCACCACATGCCAGCCAGCCCCGCCCCCTGGTGGGCTGAGCTGGCCACACACACACACACACACACAAATAAATAAAATTTAAAAAAAAAAGAGAGAGAGAGAAAGAAAAGAAAAACACAAAGAAACATCTGAAAAATCCTTACTAGGGGAATAAAGCCCAGCCAGCCACACTCAGGCCTGAAAATTTGCATTTGCCACTAGGAAATGACTGATACTCAATCTCTCCCTTATAGTAGGTTATGCCAAGGAAGAGGGGACAAGAAAGCAGGAAGTGGGAGCAGACAGCATCCCAGCTAGGGGAGGGTTCTGGGACACAGCCAGAGGTGGAAGGGCTGGGATCAGAGGGTGAGCTGAGTCCACTACCCTCCTTTGTGCGAGGTCCCTGGACAATCAGGCTGCAAAGCCAGGATGTAACACTTTGCCAGCAGGTTCTTATCACTGGGCTCACAGAGGATGTGATGCTGAGCATCAACAGCAGGCAGGGCCTGTGTGGCTGGGGAGGTGTGGCTGGGGTCTAGAAAACAGCAAGCTGCATGTACTCTGCTACCTCCTGTTAAGAGCTCCTGAGATAAACAGTTGCAGGGTGAGGATGTTTGGTTTTCAGCAGCTTGGCTAACTCGCTGCTATGGCTTGTCTCCAGTAAGGGGAGCCCACTCCAGAATGCCAGTCCTCACTCTTTCCACTGAAAAGACTCGGTGGTCATCAATGACACAGCAGCATGAACCCATCTGCTAGTGCATGTGCTTCACTCCAACTACTCTTGAGCTTTTTTAAATTTTTTTAATTTTTATTTGTGTGTGTGTGAGTGTGTGTGTGTGTGTGGCCAGCTCAGCCCACCAGGGGGCGGGGCTGGCTGGCATGTGGTGCTGGGGATTGAACCGTGGTCCATGTGCTTTGCTAAGCTTGCTCCAAGCAGGTGCTCTAGACCACTGAGCCATCTCACCAGCCCCATCTCTTGAGCTTTTTTTTTTCTCTCTCTCTCTAAATAAAAAGTATTAGACTTTGTTTGCTGCCAGAGTAATTACTTCTTTCAAATAAGTAAGCAATTGGGGTAGGGTAGGGAGTAAGGATGGGAGGGAAGTTCCTTTGGGCCTTATATATTATGTTTTTAATGCTGGGTGACTCTGAAAACTGCTCAAAACTTCATGTGTCACTGAAGACAAATCGCCAGTCATAATGTTGCAGACAGCTGAGTTAGACAGAAATATTATAGGCAGCCAAAAAGGGCCAGGCTCTCAAGGAGACAGTGAAAAGACAAGATGACCTTGCAGCTTTGGGAGAAACAGACCCTGCTGTGGGCGCACAAGACAAAAGGGTAAACAAATGCAGCTACATACCTCCCTAGGGATAGGCATCCAGGATTGATATTCCAAACAAGTCTCTCACTTCGGGACACCTGGAAGTTACTAACCCAGCCCCTACAGGAAAAGCCCCTGTTCTGTATTCATGCCGGCTTGCCAGGCCTGCTTGCTCATGACTCACTTCCCGGTTGGGTACTGGATTTAATCAATTTTACCTGAGCAACTGTGCTTGTAATCTCATTGGTTGACCATAATTTTGTCCCACCTGATGCCCATCTGTCCCACATTATCACCTTAGTCCCGCCTCACCACGTGGTTTTCTCTATAAAAATCCCTGGAAAACACAACTTCTGGGGCAACAGAAGCTTTCCTTCTTCCAATAACTATATTCTGTTCTTAACTTCTGTTGTTCCAAAAGTTCATTCTTCAGCTTTAGAGAACAGGAACTCACACCCCCACCCCAAGCCGGCCCGGTATCTTTCAGGTAGAGTTTCATTCTCCTATATCAATTAGGACCTTGGTCTTAATAGTAAACCCCTGATATGAATGCAGCCTAAAGGCTCTGCACCTATTAACTTAATCTTCAGAACAACCACAGGAGGGTGCATCTACTTTCAACCTTAATTTATAGATGAGAAAACTAAAGCACAGAGAAAGGAATCAACTTGCCAGTGTCACACAGCTGACCCAAGCCAGGACCAGGATAGAGACTCCGACAGGAAGGCTATAATGTATGGTAGCCCTTCACACACATACAATTATGTTCTTATCCATCTAAAGGGGAAGCGTGGGGCACATCTGGGGGAGCTGACACATGCTCATCCATCCTGTCGCTTCCTGGGAACTGGGGAATTGTCCCTGTCCTGCCCTCTTATCAGACCACACCTGGCTCTCCTCAGATAAGGAAAACCAAAGCAATGATTATAAATCATCCAGGACATGGTTCTTCTGATTGGCACCTGCCACTGCCGTAGAGTAACGAGAACCGACTCCTTCACCGTGCCCCTGCGGTGCAGCGGGAAGCGTGCGGAAGCGCGTTAGCACAACCGCGGCACCCTCTCCCAAGAGTTTCAGGAAGACCCTCCACAGCTGCGCCGCTGTCTCCCTGCCGCCCATGCCCTCGCATCCACGGACCTCGTTCACTGTGCACTCTGGGGACCCGTGGCCTCCTGCCTCTGCTCGTGCCCTCCGGGGAGCCGTCTACCACCCGAGGGAGCGCAGCCCGTTAAGTACAGGCATCATGGTGAGAAGCACGCATATGTAGCCTGGCTGCTGTCTTCTCTGATTGACCAGCCTGGGTCAAAATGAATCCAGGAGCTTTCTGGACAGTGAAGGGGGGACGAGGCACAGTGGAGATGACCGAAGAGGGACATGGTCGCATACTCCTCTTCCGAAGCTTTCTCAGATCTGGGTGGCAGGCATTTTAACGTGTGTAAACCCCTCTGCTCAGTGAGAGGCCAGATGCAGAGACTTAGGCACAGTGCTATTTTCGGTCAGACACAGGAAGCAGCCTCAGTGACTGGCCCCGCATTGCAACGCATCCACAGGGGGACTTGAGGGCCTGGGCGTTCCATATAATGAGAACAATTTCTATATGATGTATGTATGTATGATTTTTTTTTTTTTTTTTTTGTGGAATCGGGGATTGAACTCAGGCCCTTGCACTTGCCAGGGAAGCACTTATTCCATTGAGCCATCTCCCCGGCCCCTGTATGTATAATTTTTAAAATTTAAAATGTCAGGCATGGTGATACACACTTGTCATCCCAGCATTCAGGAGGTTGAGGCAGGAGGATTGCCCCCAAGTTAGAGGCCAACCTCTAATTACACAGGGAGCCCCTCTCTAAAAAAAAAAAAAAAAAAAAAAAAAAAGTAAAAAGCAGTGTGCATGCCAAGGGCTGGCTTTATGGGGCACATGTTAGATCAGAGCTTGTAGCATATGTGTTGTCCCCTTTTCCAGCTATCCTCTGTCAACAGCAGAAAAAGCAGATGGTGTCTATCAAGGAGAAGCAAGAATTTTAGGGAGGCCTGGGACTGGGAGCGGGCAGAGATGCTCTCCTCTTGATCAGGCATCTGAGTCATCTCTGTTGCATGTTTATTTGGCTTCTAATGTTTGGAGTTCTCCCTGGGAGAAGGGACTTCCCATTGCCACACAGCTGACCCATGCCTGGGGTCCTTTCTTGCCTTTAGACTTTCTAACTTCAGCTGTAGATTCTTGTGTCAATTGTTATGCTGTGCTAAAAGGGCCAAAGGCCCTTCAAACACTTATGCACCTAGGCTTGGTGGCCTGTGCCTGTAATCCCTGCACTCTACAAGGTGGAGGCAGGAGAATCACAAGTCTCAGCCCAACCTGGAAGATTTATCTACTTAGCAAGACCATGTTTCAAAATGAAAACCAAAAAGAAAAGGCTTTTGGGCTGGAGAGATGGCTCAGTGGTCTAAAGCACCTACTTAGAACAAG